TGATAGGACAGAGCAACTCTGTCTGCCCACCTATATGAGATTCTCCTCTCCTTTGACTGCATAAGAACTCATACAGCTTACACACCCACAAACAAAGGTTGGCAAGGTACAGAGGCTACTGCATAAGAGTTAAGGGTAACACATTTAGTATCCCTGGCAACTTGGAACGAACCCACCTGCAGCAGCAGCAGCAATTACAGGGACTCTTTACAAAACAATCAGTGTATGGGGCTGAAGTTTCCAGCCACAAGGTAACTAGACACTGGATCCCAACCATTCAGTCCCTGGAAGAAGGTACAGACAAGCCAGTGCTCAAAGGCTGCTTTCATGTCTAAGTTTCCAGGCTTCTCTGGGGAGCTCTGCAAGCCCAGACACTTGTCTGCCAGAATCAGGTCGGCGGCAGAGCTCTCCTGGGAGGAGAGGAGCCGTGCTCTAAGCAAGCAGCATTCCTGAGCACCAGCAAGAAGAAGGGGCACTCCCAGGCCCAGAAGGTCTAAGCAAATGCAGCCAATGAGGCTGGTACCTCCAGGAGCTTCATGCTCCTGGGCCCCACCTCAGCTGCAGAATAAGGCAATAAAACTGCATAGCTGAACTTCAAGTAATTATTACAAACCGTGTCTGCTGCCTGATCAGCATTTTAACATAAAGGAGGTTACAGAAATGCCAGAGAAGCACAATACTCAATGTTCCGAGTAATAAATCATCTGCGTGGGAACAGAGCTCAATCCGATCCATGCGTACGCGCAGCCCCCTCAGCTGCACTCGAGAGGCTGTAATGGTCTGAGAGCACGGTGCCCAGCTGCAGCCTGCCCTGCTCCCAGAAAGCAAACAGCTGCTCATGGGCAGCTCTGAGCATCAGCCCACGGATGAACTAAGGTGTAGTTTTCACTCAGATAAACCGATCCCACAGCTGAGAACAACCTGAGCTCACTGCTCTTTTAAACAGGAAATCCAGTGAGCAATAAAAAGCGCTGGTGAGCATTTTTGCCAATTTCAGCTTTGATACTCTTCTGCTAATGTTAGAAATAGCAATCCACAAATGGTCCTCCTGAAAACAAAGACGGAGTCCAAGTATTTTAGAAACACGTCTAAATATTTATTCTTCTTCCAGGGCAGGAAAGGACTTTACTTCCCTAGTTCTCATGCCATTATCTGCACCAACCTCAGTTACATACATCTATACGTTTTTTTCTGCTGTTTTCTCATAAAAGCTTTATCCTTGCATTTCATAATTATTGTTTCTTCTCTAAACTACTGAAAGCCTACCTTCTGCTAAATCTGCATAGGCCATTTGCTAATAACCCATCATCACCAGCTAACAGCATTCTTGAATAAGACAATAAAGCATCCTTAGCATAACAACTAATCCATCTACGAGTCCTTTCTGGAGGTTACTAGTGAAAGCCAGATATTTCTGAATGCTGAAATATTCTCATCAGTGCAATACTTCTGTAAATTCCTATACTGTCCTCTTATGTATGAATTTTCTAAGTAAATTCTTTTGTTATTACAATAGGCACTTGCAAAAGAAGTAAAACATTTTAAAATTATTCAGGCACCACAATGCCACTACAAAACCTTCCAAGTACCACAGCTAATTCCAGGAACAGCTCCTATAGTTCATAATGCAAGTGCAGAATGACCTCACAGTCAAGACAAACTATCAGATCCCTAAAAAAAATAAAATAAAAAAAATAAAATAAAAAAAAAAATTAAAAAAAGAAACAACTCCACTGTGTTTAAGTTTCAGAATTTGACAGCAAGGTACAAAAAGCCTTTAGAAGTCCAATCTGACTCTGAATGTGAACTGGAAGAGTTTTCACCCTGATGTACCTTCAAGAACAAGCTGCATGCCTGGGGTACTCTACCCTACAGCCAAGCACCAGAGGACAAGATTTGAGGCGCAGACAATGACAACTTTGTGGTCTGATTTTTGGGCTGTCCTGTGTGGAGCCAGGAGGAGTTGGACTCGATGACCCTCATGAGCCCCTTCCAATTTGGGATATTCTGTGATTCTACAACTTAGTGATTCAGCGGTTTCTACAGAAGATGTGTACCTTCCATTTCGGATTATCTATGTTTAAGGGAGTCAGTCCTTGCATTTCCCAGGCACCTGCTATAATCCCGGCTTGCTTCCAAGCCTGATGCCACGCATTTTCTCCAGGTCAGCCCTGTAGCATCAAAGCCCTGCCAGGGCAAGGGGCTGAGCACCCCGAGCTTCACAAGGGAGAAACATCCCACAGGAGTGAGCTCACACATCGCTGTGCAAGCGCCCGGACACTCGTCCCCTTGGCACCTTTGTCCTACTAAAAGCAACACACCACCTTGCGAACTGGCACCTGGCCACCCCGACAGATGGACTGGAGTGCAGGCAGCCAAGAGACTATGTATAAGCACCAAATATGTTTTTGAGAGGAGGACTTCCAGCCAGGAATGTTAAAACAGCTGTCCGCATTGAGCTTGCATGCCTACACTTAAGAGGATATGCTATTGGCACTCGAGCCCTGAGCTGGATTAACTTGAAAAATAAATAAAATAGCCTCCACATCCACATAAGGTGAGCTTTTGCAGCATCAGGATTAGTGATGCTGAGGGGGCTTCACCATCCATCAGTCAGCAGGCAAACTGGAAGGGCGGAAGTGCTCCGAAGTTGTGCAGATCCATGGAACTTTTCTCTTGTGCATGCTCCCTAACAAATGTTTTTCAGTTGAACACGTATTTAAATCTGTTTTAATTAAAAAGCACAGCACGCAGTACCAGCCTGATTTCCAACAAACACACTGGTGACTTTACACTCTGCATTGGAGGATACCTCTAGTTTGAAATTAGCCATCTTCACTGAGAAGCATCCTTGTGTGAAAGGAGTGCTTTCACCAGGCTTTCTCTTCTTTTCAAAACCTCTAAACATTCCAGCCCAAGATTTTTGGTTAGCTTTTGGCTACATACATCCACAGCATTGAAAGCTAGGTTAGATGGAGCCCTGGCAATCAGCACACTTGCCTCTATGGTCCCACAGTGTGCCTGGCCAGGTTGCCCACTGCCTATGAAGGTCTCTCTTCAAGAACTGAAACATTCCAAACCTCAGAGAAGCACCAAGCACAGGTTGCTCACGCCAACATGACCAACTATTTTTTTTTTCTTTCCACAGAACTCAGATTCTATTCCTGCACTTAAACACTATATAGCTTAAAAACTGACAGGAAGCAACTAGTGAATCTTTTAAATGTGCTTTGTGTTCATGTTAACTCTCATTTCCCAGCGGATAGATCAGATGGCTGGCACAAAACCCACATTCACACTTCAGCTGAGTATCTCACCTTCACTTTTCTCATTCACTACACACAAGCATCCCATCTATGTGGACATTCCCAGTATAGATCAAAGCAGCACTCATCACCTGGCTCCTGGCTCACCCACAGCCTTCCAGCAGTTGCTGGTGTCTTTTACCTTTGCTAAGGCTTTGAGGCTGATCTCTGCAGCAATTAAAAGCTGCCTGAGTCATTTTGCCATGACTTCCTGTGGCAGCAGAAATTCACGGCAGCACAGCTTCTCCTGCACTGAGGATTTCCAATAACCTTACCTCCCCCCCACTAGGGCTCTCTCCCTCTCACTCCACTCCTCTCCTTTGCCCTTCTTGTCTCACCTGCAGCCAATTCCCTCTCTTTTTCCCTTGTTTTTAAGAGTGGTATGAAATTACCTGTTGCCAAAATCTTCAGCCCACTCTCTACTGCTCCAAACTACAGTTATGGACCTCAGCAACGAGACACTGTTCTTCCAGGCTAAGCTAGATTTCCATCCCAGCACACTTTTCTTAGAGGCTGGGGAGCGCAGGAAAATGCTGTGTAAAATATTTCACCAGGCTGATCAGCAGTGCTGCAAGAACAGCAGAGAAAACACAGCTAATACCTACACTTCCTTGTGAAGCCCAAAAACATTAAGGGCTTTCTCAAGACATTACACATAGAACTGACTTTAAAAAGGTTCAGGGAGCAGTCGTGTTGATGATGAATAGGTCACAGGGAATAAAAAACACAGATATGGATAATTAATTTTCGCTTAACAAAGTAATTACACACACACCATGTGCGTTCCTGTCATAAATGTCTATTTTACAGGGAATGATTACCTCCAAGGTTATTGCAAAGATGCAGCAAATTAACTGGCAATGGGAATGCTGAGCAACCACTTAAGCAGCTCTTCCAGCACCATCAGTGCCTCCCTTAATCTGAGAATGATTTGAAGGGCCGAGATTCATTTCTCACAGAATCACATAAGATACCAGCAGAGCACAAGGAACAACTAATCCTCCTTCGTACTACGCACACTATCAACAGTGTACAGTGTTCCCTATCCTCTCCAATCCCCAAATAAGTTCAGTACATAGTTAACCAAGAAAATCCTTTCTCACATTATAGGAACACCTCCTGTACCTGCCAAACTCCAATGCAGAGGGTTGTAACTTTGGGGTGTTCCTCGAGCTCCCGTAACTGAGCTCTAACCCTGAAGGCGTCACTTACTGTTATATCCAAGTTCTTTCCAACTGAGTTCCCACATGACTTATTGATGCCTGCCAAAATTCATTGCTAAATAACTTCTGGGAAAGTAAAACAAACAAAACATGTAAGAATCTGTCAAAGTATTGATAAAACATCAGCATTATAAATACTCCAGATGAATGGCACGCTGGCCAAAATTTAGAAATGCATTTTTTCTGCATTAGCAAAAAGAACACTGTTGAAGGGGCTGAGCTAACTGTAGCACTAATTGCAGAAGTCACCTGCTTACGATGGGGAAGGTGACCTTCTCTGATGTCCTGCTCCACACTGTTACACACTGCCTGAGCTTCACCTGTCACTGCTGGTCACCATCCCACAAGAAAAGGGACGGAGGGGGAGGGCATTTTATCACAGGAAAGCACAGCAAATTTATTTGGAAAGTTTCCTTTGGAAGGCAACCTGATGCTGTTCAGAAGGCACAGAGCTCAGCCAGAGATGCCTTACCTAGGTAAAGCGAGGCGTTCTCTTTCTTGACATTGTCATCCAGGTAGGTTGGTCCCAAGGTATAGATGGGTGTGGAGCCCATGCCGATGAGAATTTGGGCACAAATGAATAAAGCTACATAGAGGGAGTGATCGTTCCCACCGGAATCCTTGATGCAGGCCGGCGAGTCCCACTGCTCCTTGGCGGTGCCGTTGCCGGTCACGCACAAGCCCTCGTTGCTGACGGAGGAGTTCAGCTCCTGGATCTGGTACGGCGGGGAGATGAAGTGAGGTAGGGAGAAGAGAGCGGCCCCCAGGGCGATGAAGAAGCCCCCGACGGCCAGCCAGAGCGGCCTGCGCCCGCGGCCCCCGAAGTAGCTGATGAACACCACCACCACCAGGCTCCCGATGTCGAAGCAGCTGACCAGCAGCCCCGACTCCGAGCTCTTCAGGCTGTATCTCCGCTCGATGGTGGTGATGACGCTGCTCAGGTAGCCGGAGACCATGAGGGACTGGATGAAGGTCAGGAAGCACATGCACACCAGGAAGAAGCGCGAGTCCGCCAACACTGCCCGGAGGCACGCTCTGCCCGGCGGCCCCGCCAGCAGCAGCGGCGGCGGAGGCGGCGGGGGGGCTCCGGGGGACACCCCTCTCCCGGCCGCCGCCGGCTCCGTCCTCCG